GGAGGTATCTGGGGGGAACAGAAGGCAAGACAAAAATGATGCACTACAGCCCCCACTGTGCCTACTGCTCATGGACGGCCTCACACTTGCCAGTGGACACTGCACAACTCCCTTCCAGGGATATCGTGTGCAGGCATATCCAAGGAAAAGTCAGATTTAACAACCTCTTTGATGGCCCACTGACAGGGCCCGTTCTTATGCACAAGTGAATGCACAATTAAATCCCTCCACCTGCATACAATTAAACAGAATAAGTATGCAGTAAAGAGAGACTTGAATGCTGCGCATATTTGCTGAAGACCCTCTTGTGGCACATTGGCAGTGTCCCTATCCCTGGACTGAGAGACCCAGATTCAAGTCCCACCTGCTCCAGAGGTACGAAATAACATCTCTGAACAGGTTGATTAGAAAGATAGGTTAAATAAAAGAGAAATACAGTCAACAGATGGGCGTCCAACACTCAAGAAAATCAATATCATCCAGGATAATGCAGCCCTCTTGATTGCACCACGTCCCCAAATGTTCACTCCCTCTACCACCAACACTGTAGCAGTCTATGCTATTTACAAGATGCACTGCAGCAACTCACCAAGGCCTTTTGAACAGCACCTTCCAAAACCGTGACCTCTTACTACCTAGAAGGACAAGGGCAGCAGATAACTGGGATCACCACTCAGCAGGTTCCCTACCAAGACCCGAAACATGCTGAATCAGAAGCATATCATCATTCCTTAACTGTCACTAGGTCAAAATCCTGGAACTCCCTCCAAAATAGCAGTGTGGGTGTTCCTACACCACAGTGATTACAGCAATTCAGAAAGGCAGTTCACCATCACCCTCTCAGAGACAATTTAGGACAGGCAATAAATGTTGGCTAAGCCAAAATCTCAAAAATGAAAAAGAGAAGAAAAATTCCACTTTAAAACCACGCATTTTAACGTGGCTGTGAATACGCTCTCCACAGGAGCATAATTTAACAAAATAATGAATTGGACAAAATTTGACACCAAGCCACACAAATGGATATTAGGACAGCAGAGGTAGGTTTTCTGAAGCATAGCCAGAAGTGATGGTTTAGGGAAAGAATTCAGAGATCATCTGTGTCATTGTTACAAATATGGCTCTATTGGAGATCAGTCATATTAGCCGCTTTCAAACAGTCTATGAGCGCCTTACATTTGTGGGAGTTAATTGGATAACTCTGAAGAGTCTGCACAATCACAGTTGGCCAAATAGCTCACCGTTTTGTGCTGTATAATTCTAAATGGAATAGTGTCCAACTGAACTTCAAGAGATCTTTCGGATATACCTTCTCCCATAACTAAAGACATCTTATTCCCTACACACCAATGTAAACTTACCAGCCACCCCTCACCGTTCCCATCCAACAACAAATCCAAACGTTCTCATGACCATCCTTGCTGTCCAGGATTACAGCAACAACAGGACAATGAGCTTTAAGGAGAGATTGGACAAATCTGGATTGAGCATTGGAGGCTGAGGGGGCAACCTGGCAGAAGCATAAAAAATTATGAAGGGCACGGATAGGGTGGACAGTTAGAGTCCCTTTCCCAGGGTGGAAATGTCAAATACTGGGGGGCACAGGTTTAAGGTGAGAGAGGGAAAGTTTAAAGAAGATCTATCGAGGAAAGGTGTGTTTTATTTCACAGACGTAGGTGCCTGGAACACGCTGCTGGGGAGGGGGTAGAAGTGGATATGATAGCAAAGTTTAAGAAGCATTTAGACTGGCATGAACAGGCAGTGAATACAGGGATGCGGACCATGTGCAGACAGATGGGGTTAGTTTGGAATAGCATCACTGTTGGCAATTCAAGATGACAGCATCAGCACAGTAGGTCGTGTTTGGGCTCCTGAGCCCACCTGCTCCAGCTAGCCGCATCCTTCTCTCTCGCTCTCCTTTATCCTTTCTCTTTTTTCCTTTATCTTCTAATGCCCGGGGAAAGCTACAGCGGTGACGGTGGGGCATGACTGCAATGGTGGCGATGCCTGGAGCAGGGACTCCTGGCTGTGGTAGGCCTGAAGCATCGATTTTTGGCGGGGTCATTATTGCTGCAGGGACCTTGCAGAAACCCTGGAGCTGTATTTGAATACCCCTTGCACAGAATTTGGCTCCTATTTAAGAAATTTCTTTTTATTCCTTCTGTAACTCAAAATGGCACTGGATTATATAATATTACAGCACGGATATAGATCTTTCAGTCCAACAAGTCCATGTCGACCATAATCCCAAACTAAGCTAGTCCCATTTACCTGCACTTGGCCCATATCCTGCCAAATCATTTCTATTCATGTACTTAACTTAATGTCTTTTAAATATTCTAACTGTACAAACATCCACCACTTCCTCTGGAAGTTCATTCCACATACAAACCATTGTGTTAAAAAAAAATTGCTCCACATGTATTTTTTAAATCTTTCTCCACTCACCTTAAAAATATGCCCCCTACTCTTGAAATCCCTCACCCTAAAGAAAAGACACCTACACTTCACCTTACCTATAGCCCTCATTACTTTATAAACCTCTAAAAGGTCACCTCTCAACCTCCTATGCTCCAGTGAAAAATGTCCCAGCCTACCCAGCCTCTCCTTATAACCCAAACCCTCCATTCCCGGCAACATCCTGGTAAAACTCTTCTGAACCCTTTCTAGCGTAACAATATCCTTCCTGTGAGAGGGAGACCAGAACTGCACACAATACTCCAGAAGAGGCCCTACCAATGTCCTGTACAATCTCAACAAGACATCCCAACTCCTATACTCAAAGGTCTGAGCAATGAAGGCAAGCGTGCTAAACATCTTATTAACCATCCTAACTATATGCAATGCAAACTTCAAAGAATTATGGACTTGAACCCCTAGGTCTCTCTGTTCTGCAACACTACCTAAGGCCCTACTTTTAATTGTATAAGTCTTGCCCTTTGTTTTCTTTACCAAAATGCAATATCTCGCATTTATCCAAATTAAACTCCATCTGCCACTCTTCAGATTGTGCTGACAAAACATTTTTCACTATCTTTCTGGATATATGTGACAATAAATAACTCACTCACACACAGACATGGTGGGCTGAAGGGTCTGTTCCATTCAGATTTGGGCTATAAATGTTTGCTCATCAGCAATGCCCAAATCCCAAAAAATTTTAAAAATGCTTCATTGGAAAGCAAGGGCTCAGACAGTTAATAGGAAGCCTGGCAAAGAGGTAGCTTTGCAGTTATTCTTTCATTTGACAGATGCTGTGATTAATAGCTGACCTGGAACCCACTGACTGCCCTCAAACTGTTTTACTGGCTGTGCTCCAAGATGAAACAGCACCATCTTCTAGCCTCTAAAACAGAGGATGAATGGTTTTCAATAGGAATTCAAAAAGGACACGTGAATCAAAATTTTTACAGCAAATATTAGTTATGGAATTCTTATGTAATCAACCACTCAAATCTCAGTGAACTCAGAATTTAGGGGTGCAGGTCGACAGGAATCCCAAATTAAATAGAGCTGTTTTATATATATTAAAAAATCAAGAAGCTTTCCAATCACAAAAAACATAGCAAATAAAAGCCAACAGATAGCCTGAGCCTGCATAAAGACCCAGTTGCAGTAATGTATGTAACATTCCAAACCATAGAAAAGTACACTGAAGCTTTAAAAGGATTAAACCCTTTCATTAGATGCACCAACAAGCACGTTCCTCTCCACCTAGCTGAACTTGTTCACACACTGAACAACTTTTCCTTCAACTCTATCCACTTGCACTATATAAAAGCTGTACCCTTGTGGGTTTTTGCTACAGCAGTTTTATAGTCGGAGACGTGAAATATTTCTTGTTCCCCTTCGACTCAGGCCCCTCCGCTAAATTCCTTTTCCTATACATCAATGATTGTATCCTGCTCTCAACCAGGACTGGAAGACATAACTGCATTCGCTTCCCCAAACAAGATCTATCTTCAAATTTTATAGTTCCTTTCGGTGAGTTCTCAGCTTATCCCCACAAAAGGAAACAAGCAACCAATATTCACTATAAACTCACTGACTCCCATGACTGAGATCTGCCATAGAGAACAGACCATAGGGCTGCTTTCTCATTACAGAGAGTCAACTGGTGACGGTTTAACCCGAGGACCTTAGGCAAGGAGAAAAGTTCAGAAGGAGAGCCATTTATGGCGACCTCAGCCAGTGCAGGAATTGAATCCACGTTGCTGACATCACTCTGCATTGCAAACCAGTCATCTAGTCAATTGAGCTAACCGAGCCCCTCTACCATAAATACGAAGACTACACTGTTAACGTTATTGCTCCTGCAAGAGCTCTATTACATTCTCCCTGATTCTCAGTCTCATCTGCTTGGACAATGCAATTTACCACACAACATCCGATGTGTTTCCTAACCCCTGGCCCCCAACCCCGACATCCCTCCTCAACATCCTAAGACCAAACACTACCACAAGTGTAACAGCAAATAATTTGTATCTCTTTCAATTCATCACAGTCGACTTGTAGCTTATGACATGGTACCTTCTGTGTTGGTGAGGTCAAAGACAGACTGGGTGACTGATTTGGTGGAACACCTCCTTTCAGTCTATACACGTGACCATGAGGTTCCAGTTGCCTTCCATTTAATTCTCCACCTTGATTCCAATGTTGATCTTTCTGTCCTTGACCTGCTGCTGCATCCCAATAGGGCTCAACGCAATTTTAAGGAACAGCATCTCATCTTTTGACTGGGCATTGCTGCAGTTAACAATTTTTCACGCTACCCAAATGCCAGACAATGAGAATCACCAACGAGGGAATCTCATCATCACTCCTTGATATTCAATACATTACAAATAATGAATCTCCCACTTTCTACAGGGTTTACCACTGACCAGAAACTGAACAGGACCAGGCACATAAATACTGTAGCAACAACAGCAGGTCAGAGGTTAGGAATCATGCAGTGAGTAACTCACATCCTGATTCCTCAAAGCCTGTCCATCATCTACAAGGCATAGGTCAGGAGTGTGATGGAATACTCCCCACTTGCCTGGATGGGTGCAGCTCCAACAACATTCAAGGAGCTTGACACAATCCAGGACAAAGCAGCCTACTTGACTGTCACCACATCCACAAACATTTACTCCCTCCAATACCAAAGTTCAGTAGTGGCAGTGGGTACGATTTACAAGATGTACAGCAGAATTTCACCAAGCCCTGGGTCAGCAACTTCCAAACCCACACCACTATCACCTAGAAGGAAGAAGGCAGCAACTATATGGGAACATCACCCCGTCCAAGTTCCCCTCCAAACCAGTCACAATCCTGACTTAGAAATATATCGCATTCCTTCAGTCTGGCTGGGTCAAAATCCCGAAACACCCTTATTAACAGCATTGTAGTTCTACATACAGCACGTGGACTGCAGCAATTCAAGGGGGCAGCTCACCATCACCTTCTCAAGGGCAATTAGGATGGGCAATAAACAATGGCCCAGCCAGGATGCCCACATCCCCTGAATTAATTTTAAAAACCTTCCACTTCGACACGTTTTTCTTTGTTGCTTTTTTCCCTTTTAATTTTCTTGATTTTGCTTTCAGATGGCAGCTGTTTAAAACCCCTCCTGCCCTCCACCCTATTACAGAAATTACCTTCATTCTTTTGCCCAACGTCTAATTGCTCAAAATCTATGATTTTCCTAACATCCCTCAGTTCTGATGAAAAGTCGCAGGCTTGAAACATTAACTCTCTTCTCAGATGATACCTGACGCTGCTGAGCATTTCCATTACTTTCTGTTTTCATTTCAGATTTTCTGCATCTTCCTTTTGGTTCACTATATTTTGTGGTCTAAGAAAAGATTAAAAGAAACTTGAAAATTCTGCAGGATTTTTTTTTCACTAAAACAGTGCAGACAATAAGTCAAGACAGTTCCAAATTATAAAAGGATTAGGTAGATAGAATCATTCAGCTTCCAATAGCTGAGGGATCTAGAATGACTGGCACTGATGGGAGATAAAATGTAAAAGAATTGGAAAAGAAGTCAGAGAGACCTCTTCTCACAGACACTTATGGGTTGGGGAAATTACCTTCAATCAGCTGAGGAAGAAATTATTACAATATTGAAGGTCAGATTTGATAGTTGGATGAGGAAAATGGAAGGGATCTGGAGACAAGATCCACTACAACTTGCCGAAATTGTCCTTGGAAAATAGAGTGAAAGCTGAGGTGTTGTCTCCTGAGTTTTGTGGCACTTGGCCAAAAAGACATGGTTTCCTACTGTCAACATCCAATAAAATCATGGCTGATCTATGATCTAATTCCATACATGTAACTCTTCTGTGATAAGAAGAGAAAATGATAGGAGTGAGCATGGACAGGAATGACAGGACAGAGACAAGGCTACCTTTTAGCTGGATCTCCCCTTCACATTGATACAATGCTTCTCTTCAAAAGCCAACTAATCCAAATGCAGAATTCCAGTCTTGGCAGACCTTTTGTTTCTAAATCTCTTTGTGCATCTTTGTTGAATAATACAACTTTGCAGGAGGTTAAGTAACTACACTATGCCTGACAGAACGTGACCAGTCAGATGTTTGGAGTTAATGGACATTTGGAATAAAAGTGCCCTCACCTTTTGTAGCATAGGATTCAGCAATGATCCTCAGTCTGTAGACAGGCACTCCCACCAACTGCAACTTTTCCAGATCTACCTTGGAATACAGGTTGAGAGCTCGGGTGTGGTCACCCTCCACGTAGTAACACTTGGCCAAAATCAAGTTGGTTTCCTGCGCAAAATCTTGCTGACAAAAGAGCAAACAGTGCAGTGCGTAAATACCTTTGCAAACATATGCTTCTCAATCTGGGATCTGCGGATGTTTTGGGGCGTGATTAAACAAGACAAATGGTGCATAAATAAGCAAAGCCTGGAAGCAAACTTGGAGCTGAATGGGAGGAACCAATGAAACTGCCACACATATAATGCAGAGTGGACTGGTCATCTCACTGGAGGAATGCTGGAAGTGTCAGGAGATTGTCAGGACAAGTGCAGTTACCAAGGCTGGTGATGAGCCTTGTTTGAGAGGCAGAGATTTTATTAACATTACTTACTTAAATAGGGCATTAAATGAAAATAAAACAAAGAACTTTGGATTCTGCAGATCTGAAGCATAAACAGAAATTGCTGGTGAAACTCAGCAGGTCTGGCAACATCTGTGGGAAGAAAGCAGAGTTAGTGTTGAGTCCAGCAATTGATAAATCTGATGAAGAGTTATCAGACTAGAAACGTTAACTCTGCTTTCTTCCCACAGACACTACCTGGCCAGCTGAGTTTGGCCAGTGATATCTGTTTTTGCATTAAATGTAAAATCACTTAGGTACTCTGAATATTAAAAAAGACAGACTGCCGTTTATATAATGCCTCTCATGACCACCAAGCTTCTCAAAGAATTTTGTAGCCAATTAAATACTTTTGAAACGTAGCACTATGATGATTTTAAGACCGTAAAATCTAATTTCTCAAAGCCTGAGGTCACTAGCAATTAAACTCAAATTAATGAGATACATTAGCCAACTTAAAGGTGTAAATTACTCACTTCAGCTTGATTTCAAATTTCCTCTAACATTGTTAAACAACAAATGATGTGTAACTGGCTGGAGCATGACCTTTGTTAAAAGCTCTGTGACATTTTGAAGTCTGAAATCTGAGGTGGAACAGAATCTCTCAGAAAACCATCTATGACTAGTGCGTCCTTTTCAATGGTACTCACAGAAAATCAGGCAACTATTTACATTTATACAGTACCTTTAAAATATAAAGACACCAAAACTCTTCACAAAAGCATATTCACAGCAAGAAAAAAAGTCACACCCAACAATACAGTGCCCTAACACTCAGCACCATGGCACCTACAAAATATCTTCAAAGCGACAGCATTTTTAGTCAGTTTTTAAAATTACTGAAGTTGGAAGGATATTTTCAGCTTCACGACTGGGAGAACGCTGTTAACCATGCTGCTCATACTGCACATTTCAGTTTGTAAATTGGTGCTCCACAGAAATGATTGAATTATTTAGCAGATCTGGCAGCATCTATAGAGGAGAAACCGGTTCAGGTTAATGAGCCTTTAGCGCAAATGTCATCAAACTGAAACATTAACTTTGTCTCTCCCTCTTCAGATGTTGCCTTACCCACTGAGCACACGCAGAAATCTCTGCTTCTATTTTAGGTACAAAGGTTGTAGCAAGATCGTGAGTGAGAGATGTATTACCTTTAAATTGCCTCTATCGAGTGCACCTATCAAGTGCTTCTTCACCTCGCTTAGCTTTGGCTTGGCATCTGGAGGAGTGACTCCTTGTTTGATTGGATTGTCTTTCAGGTACAGCTCCAACTTTGACTCTCCAAGTAGTAGCTCTGCCAGGTCATCTGAGATAGAACAGAGGTGACCGAATCTTAGAGAAAGGAAAAACAAACTTACAGTTTTGTACTGGTTTTTGTATCCTTACAGGGCCTCGCAGAAAATGAAGTACCTCCTGAATTGCAGTCACTGATGTGTTTATAGGACAGAGTCCCTAATTCTGTTGACTTGATTTTAAACATTAGTGTTCTGCTTCAATGCTGATTCTGACTGAGGCACAGGAGGGATACACCATCTCTTCAGAAAGGAGCAAGCAATCCCTACACAGCATTCGTGGCTGAGTCAGGCATGCCTCAGAATCAGATGATCATGTGTTGACATTCCACTCCAGGACCGGAACTAGGGCTTTGGTTCAATGGCAAAGGGGTTCCAAGATGATTGGAGGTCAGAGATTCTGGAGGGAACCATGAGCAGGTTTGAGCTTATCCACAACTCCCACCAAGAGAACCTGCCACATGCTAGTTCCTCATTCACACACAATACACCACCTCTGCAGCCCTGGGTTCCTGGACTCTGGTCCTTCACCCTCACACATTTCACTATAGGACGCTGCAACCATGGCCAGTCACAGGCTCAGAGTAAATGAGAGTCTCTCAATCAGAACAGTGTTGAGAGAAGTGAGTAGATTTACCCAAGGTACTTGAATATCACATGCAAAGTACAGACGACACTAATATAGAATAAAGAACTGCCAGTGCTAGAAATCTGAAACAAAAACAGAAATTGCTGGTGATGCTGAGCAGGTCTGGCAGCATCTGTGGCCAGAAAACAGATTAAATGTTTCAAGTTCTGTGACCCTTTTTCAGTTCTGAACAGTTGTTGCCAGACCTGCAGAGTTCCTGTTGTTGATACAGATGATGTTTGTGTGTGCTGACTCGGTACTGAGCTCCAGGTCATTGCCGACACCTTCTCTGAAGCACATGTGAAGATGGATCCTTCACTAAACACCCAGAAAAATCTAAAGTCCTCTTGCAACCAGCTCCTGCAGAAAAACAAACCACCAGCTTCCCCCACTCCACAATATACTGTAGACAGTAAAATCATTGGACAATGGTGTTTTCACAAGATCCTCCAAATCTATCGACCAGAAAGAAAGCAGTGATCACTGTACAGGACATGCTGATCAAAAACCTGACATCATGCTTCCAAATTAACTGCTCAACTTGGAAGCTGGTCATAGCAGGAAACTTCCTGGAGAGGAAGAAAGTCAAAATGTACTGCCTTCAAAGCTGAGCTGAAGGGCTTGAACATCTCAGCGGTCTCGTGGGAGACCCTGGTTTGTGACCAACCAAAGTGGAGAAGCTTCATTCAGGACTGCATCCCACACATTTAGAGACTTCGCCACAAAAATGTAGATAGAAAAATGGAGCCTGAGGCAAGGAGAGTTTGCACAAATCCCAAACAATCTACCTACTTCCCAGCACCACTTGTCCATGTATCTGCATCCCAATTATTAGCCAGCTCAGAACCCATTGGACTGGAGTGTAAACAAGAAATTCTACATTCTGAGAGATTGCCAAAGATGACGATGATTTATCTGGACCAACACAGCAGTGATGTAGCGAGGGAGAACAGGTTGCAGCAGTGCCCCAGACAACATTGCTCCCTCATGTCCTGCTGGGTGTGGTAGAGCTCATACTGTTCAACAGTGATCAACCATTCATTCTAGGTACAACTCCTACTGATTACTACAGCTTAGCCCTAAAGCAAAAACAGTCTTGCAAGCTGCTGATAACAGAGGTCTGCAGTTCCTCCACCCCTGCTGAAGATGTATCATTGCTTTCTCAATGCAAGAACCTCACTGTTCCACACAGACATGCTCCCAGCAAAGTTACTGAGAAGCAACATCCTCACGTAACCCAACACACTTTACGGAGCAATCAAGGTTAAACAGCTACATGAAATGAGTACGTCTGCCACCCAATATATGTCCTTATTACTATGACAGCTTGTGATCACCCATCAGATAATCTGTCACAAAAAGCCACTGGACAATTATTTCTATGGTGTTAGAGGTGCACAAGCAGGTAGCAAAGGGTGGGGTTGGCAAGAAGTAGAGGATGTCACTAGGATGAGAAGTGTGTGTGTCCTGAGATGCTGGAGGATTGGGAGAATGGGTGCTGGGTGAGATTAGTTGTGGCAAGGGAGGTCAACAAGATGAACCAGGTGACAGAGGGGATAAATGGGAGATAATGGGAGGCATGGGAGGTGTGGAATGGGTGGCAAGATGGGTATAAATGGTTAAGAATGGGGTGCAGTGGGTAACGAGGGGGAAGATTGAAAATGGTCATAACTTTTGGAGGGCAGTCTCTGTAGAAGTAACCCAGGGTAATGTGTTTTGGCCAACCCATCTTTAGCTGGTTTTATCAATGAGCTTCCCGTCATCAAAAGATCAGAACTGGAGGGTTCAGCAAAGATTGGACAATAGTCAGCTTCAATCCCAACTCCAAAGATATCCAGGTTTAGATTGACAGGTGACAAGTAATATTCATGCCATACAAGTACCAGGCAATGATTATTTACCAAAGAAAATCTAAATATCACCCCTTGACATTCAATGGTATCACTATCACTGAATCCCCCACTATCAACAACTTAGGGATTACCATTCACCAGAAACTGAACTGGACTAGCCATATAAATACAGATGCTGCAGGAGCAGTCAAAGAATATGAATCCTGCAGCAAGTAATTCATCTTCTAACTTCCAAAAGTCTGTCCACCATCTACAAGGGGCAACTCAGGGGTGAGATGGAATACTCCCCATTTGCCTGGATAATTGCAGCTCCAACAACAATCAAGATGCCATCTGGAAGGGGTGTGAGGTGGCAGTACAGAAAGAATCAAGAGGTTGTGGTAGGGGAAGAGTAACAGCAAGTGGGGGGAGCTGGAGGCAAGACAGAGAGCACAGCTGACTGTGGGGGCTGAGAGACAGTAGGTGACAGGTGGGACAGGCAATGTTTGATGGGGGCGGGGGGGAAGAGCAGTGACTGGGAGT